TCAATGAATCTCTATGAGGAAAGTTCAGTGTCTGCATGCAGAGGGAGGAGACACTGAATGTTTGGATGCATTTTGGGCAGCCATGACCCAGGAAGGATCTCTAACAGCCATCTAAGGAGTGGCCAGTGAAGTTATCACTAGGCTGTAATGTAAAGACTGCATTTTCTCTGAAAAGACAGTGTTTACAGCAAAAAGCCTGACGGTAATGGTTCTACTCAACAGAACAAATTCAATAAGCTGTAGTTGTTCTGGTGACTCTAGTGACTCTATATTCATTGTCAGCCAGTCCACACAAGTTGTGTTCCCATACATCCCTCTTAAGTTTCCATACTTAAGTAAGAGTATGTGAAAAGTAGTTAGGGTTGCCACCTTTCTTGGAAAAACATACCGCCTTGCTAATTTGCATAATTAAATATGTATGGGTGACATGATGTAAATCACAAGGAGTGACATAAGAGAAAATGCTGTAAAATCACCAATAAACTCTTTAGTTTGATTCTGCTGTATAGATGGATTTCTCTCAGTGGTCCCATGTCTCCCAGTGCCCCCATGTGTCGATTACTCCAGGTCTCAGTGTTCCTATGTATCAGTGTCTCAGTGCCCCATGTCTCCCAGTGTCCCCTAGTGTCGTGTCCCCAGGTCTCCCAGGGATCCTATGAATCACAGTGTCTCAATGCTCCATGTCTCCCTGTGTCCCCATGTATGCCAGGGTCCCCATGTCACTAGGAAGACGGGAAGACCTGGGGAAACGGGGAGACCTAGGGACACGGAGACACCAGTGACACTGGGAGACTAGGGGACTCTGGCTGGGACGCATGGGGACACTGGGAAAATAGGGGACACTTGAAGACATGGGGATACAGACACCAGGGACACAGACACTAGAGACACTGGCTGGGGGACATGGGGACATTGAGACATGGGGGCACTGGGAGACATGGGGACAAGGACACCAGGGACACTAGCTTGGAGACATGGGGACATTGAGACATTTGAGGCATTGGGAGACATGGAGGCACTAGGAGACATGGGGACAGTGAGACACTGGCAGACTGGGGGCACTGGCAGACTGGGGGCACTGAGACACCATGGACACTGGCTGGGAGACATGGGGACACTGGGAGACATGGGGACACTGTGTAAATAAAATAAAAGCCAGGTGGAATCCCTAAGAGTAGTGTGTGAAAAAAAAAATGTAAAAACAAAAACATGTAAAAAAAAAAAACTTTTTTTTTTTTTATAAATCAATGGGCCTATTCCATGGGCCTGGGCCTGGAGCTGCAGCTCCATCAGCCCCTATGTTAATCCGGCCCTGGTGGCCGCACAGACTGCAGGTAGAGGATCTTCTATATCCTCTATCCAGTCTGCCATGAAGTTGTTCATTGCTCCCAGTGAACAACTTCCAGTCTGCCGGGAAGTTGTTAATTGCTCCCAGTAGGCAGCTTCTTGTTAAACCGGGTAGTGGATAGAGGAGATCCTTTACTGCGTAAAGGCTATACTACAAGGAGTGACTGATAGGATGAGGAGCACTGTGCACTCTCCTCAGGCTGGTGAGCCTGTGCAGCTTTATGGTTGAGCCGGCCCTGACCATCACCCATTGTATTATATCTTATATCTCAATGTTGGTGAGAAGCAACTACCCCCCCCCTCCTCAATACTGCTGCTCTAAAATAAGATATTATGTTAGCTAGTCCCATACCACCAAATGACAAAGGTTTATAAGGGATACTAAGAGCCAATCTTGATCTCTTTTCCCGACAACCAAATTTACTGATAATACTTGGATGGTTTTAAATATGAAGCGTGGATAGCTATTAGCAGGGTGCGAAACAAATACTGTAGTTTGGATAGGATAGTTATAGAAATTAGCAAAATGTCTGAGGACTTCAGAATAATGTTGCCATTCATAAACAGGCTTATACTTGTACAATGATGCGGTTCTCAGACTTTAGACTATGGATTCCATTCTATAATACTTGCCCACCATGAAGGCATATAGACTTACTTACATATACACATCTGCACCAAATAGAAAAAGTCCCACGTAATGCACTATCATTCCCTGGTGTTATTGTGAAAGACTGGCAGAGAGGAAAACTGACGATGGATGGTGGTGAGATATATTACTTTTGCAGAGCTATTCTTGATAGATAGTAGAAGGAATAGGTGAGAATGTTAGTAATCCAAACAGGACAGCAATAGCATACTGAAATGGAGAAGCATTTGGTTGCATCTGGTTTTAGGTAAGCATGTATCTTTGCTGTGGCGGATCCAGAACCTTATCTCAGGATCGGCACTGGTAGATTATTTTAAGGAGAAATCCAGGCACAATAACCCCTACAGCCCTCTGTAGTGATTATGTTGCCAGGAGTGCTGTGGCACCCTCCCAGACTAAGTAGTTAAACCGTTTAAAGGACCACTCTAGGCACCCAGACCACTTCAGCTTAATGAAGTGGTCTGGGTGCCAGGTCCTTCTAGGGTTAACCCATTTTTTTATAAACATAGCAGTTTCAGAGAAACTGCTATGTTTATGAATGGGTTAAGCCTTCCCCCTAATTCTCTAGTGGCTGTCTCATTGAATCACAGTGTCTCAATGCTCCATGTCTCCCCATGTATGCCAGGGTCCCCATGTCACTAGGAAGACGGGGAAGACCTGGGGAAACGGGGAGACCTAGGGACACGGAGACACCAGTGACACTGGGAGACTAGGGGACTCTGGCTGGGACGCATGGGGACACTGGGAAAATAGGGGACACTTGAAGACATGGGGATACAGACACCAGGGACACAGACACTAGAGACACTGGCTGGGGGACATGGGGACATTGAGACATGGGGGCACTGGGAGACATGGGGACAAGGACACCAGGGACACTAGCTTGGAGACATGGGGACATTGAGACATTTGAGGCATTGGGAGACATGGAGGCACTAGGAGACATGGGGACAGTGAGACACTGGCAGACTGGGGGCACTGCAGACTGGGGGCACTGAGACACCATGGACACTGGCTGGGAGACATGGGGACACTGGGAGACATGGGGACACTGTGTAAATAAAATAAAAGCCAGGTGGAATCCCTAAGAGTAGTGTGTGAAAAAAAAATGTAAAAAAATAAAAAATTTAAAAAAAAACCCTTTTTTTTATTTTTATAAATCAATGGGCCTATTCCACGGGCCTGGGCCTGGAACTGCAGCTCCATCAGCCCCTATGATAATCCGGCCCTGCAGATGCAGGGAGGCAGAATACTCTTCCAACACACTACTCCCTGCAGCTCCATCAGCCCCTATGTTAATCCGGCCCTGCAGATGCAGGGAGGCAGAATACTCTTCCAACACACTACTCCCTGAGAGGGCGTTGAATTTCGCTCAATGTCAGGCTACAAAGAAGTGCATGAAAGTCAAAATAAACAAATGTTGTAAGGAAAATCAAAAGACAAGGAAAAGTGGAACTTTGCTTAGTGACTTGAATACCCAATGAGTCTGTTTCAATAAATGACAAAGCAAAGTTGTAGTCAGGTGTGTCAAGATGGTCAGGGAGGAAGCACATAATTGTTCTAGAGGTAGGGCAGGCATCAGAAATGTGGAGTCAAATACAAAATAATGGTACAGGTGCAGGAAAGAAGAGATTGAATTGAACGCTTGACTCTACACCAGGCGTGTCCAACCCACGGCCACATGCTTCCCTAATCCACTTGTAATGCGGCCCAGTTGCTGTCTGGGCTACTGGGCGCTGAGGGAGGCAGGAAATCCATTACTTACTGTGCTCTTTCTGTACAGCTCCCCCGCGTGCCCTGCAGTGAGCTGGCAGCTGGGATTTAACAACATCCCTGCATCGACATCACTACTTGGCATGCGAGGAACCTGTGCAGGAAGAGCACAGTGATTCAATCACAGATGTAACCACTGGCAACCAGGGAGAGGACTTCTTAATTACTAAACGTGTGTGTAAGAATGTGATTTTTGTGTGTGTATGCCAATAGTTATGTGTGTATGGGATTGTGGGTTTGTGATTGTATGTCTGTGATTATTTGTGTTTATGTCTGTGACTGTATGTGTATGTGTGTATATCTGTGATTGTGTGTATGTCATTGTGTGTATAAGTCTGTGATTGTATGTGTGTGTATATCTGTGATTGTGAGTGTATGTGTTATATCTGGCTGTGTGTTTATTTAGTTGAATAGGTCTTTTATATATAGATATTTCTTGTATAGGACTCTTCGAAATATTTACTTGAGTTCCTTGTATATGTATTATTAGTGGACCCCCATTGATACAATATAACCCTTTCAGTAATGTTACTGAATGTGTACATTCTGAAAATGTAGCTCTTACTAACTCATTATTTGACATAACCTGTACACATACTTTATCTTTTTCTGTGGGAGTTACAATTTCATGAGGATTTTTAACTGTTTTAATTTTACCAGAACATGAACTTTGGTTATGAAAACATAAATGATAAATGGTTTCAACTTAGTTATTTAAACATTATTTTGGATGCAAAATGTAGACAACTAGAAAGATCTACCTGCTCAAGTTCAGTAATGTTATTATAAGATACAAAATCAGGATATTGTAATCTATAAAATAATAATTGTGTGTTACTAATGGGAATCCCTAATAGCGACATTGAAAATAAAGTTTTTTCGATACCAGAAATTGGTATTAAAGGAGAACTTATACATATATTATTGTTACATCCCAACCATTTGTTAACCTATAAATCTGTATGGTTTTTTAGCGAACGCAAACTCCTCAAGTAAACTACGTTTGAGTTCTATAGGAGTAACACCACCTTGTAATTCTTGTGCCATCACCTTAAAATCTATAGAATATTCAACTTGTGTCTCCAAACAAGCTTTGGCTACCTGGGATGAATCTGCATTTCTCATTAATGTCAAAGTAGCTTCCTGTAAGTGTTGAACAGAGGGTGCAATAACAGAGGCTGTATTCATAACCATATTTTTTAATATTTGATTTAAACATCTTTGAATATGCAATCCTTATCCCGCTATTAACCCTAGAGTTCCCAAATAATTCTTTAATGTTTGAATATCCATACAATTAGTGATACTACCTATAGTACCAAATCTAGCCATAATTCCTTCTACTATATCTATTTTTTTCCTATTTGTTACGTTACTTCTTCCAAACCAATATTCTAAGCCTCGTTCCATATTTAATAAATGTTCCTTATTGTGGAAATTTAGTTGAGATTTTCCACTGAGAAACATTTAAATTACAAACTATTGTTGCAAATTTCTCATGTACTAACAGAGGCTTTGATTGAAAATGATTCAATTGAAAGGGACTTGATAACTTAAAAACCCTATTTTTACATTTTACCATTCTGGGAGAGAATACATTTACCTTAACATCACCACATCTCTCGTAATGATTTTTTAACATTATACAACATTGATTAGTGGAAACTATCAATGTTGTATAATGTTAAAAAATCATCACCATCCACTATCACTGTAGGTAGGATTGTCTAAATAGAAAACAAACATTTCTTCCAACCAATCCACCTTTCCTAGTACACCTCTGTGAATGTCAGGATCACTGTTTGATCCAGCACGTAGAACTGTACAGCACGGATGACAAATAAGTAATGTATTACCGGTCCTTAGAATGGCCGGATTTAACGTACAGAGAATAGTCAAAAATACTAGCCGAGGTCAGGGAACACAGAAAGGGACACAGCGATGAGGAAAGCCAGGAGTCAGGATACCAGAATATAAAGTGCCCCGAGAAAACCTAGAATCCACGATAGAAGATACCTCATACTCTTCCTGACCACCCACCACCACCGGAGGGGGAGGAACACAAGGAACAGTATATCTATTGCAGACAAGAGGTTTGAGTAAGGACACATGAAAAGTGTTGGGAATCCCTAAAGATGCAGGAAGAGCCAGAGAGTAAGACACTGGATTGATCCTACGAAGCACTCTATAGGGACCAAGGAATCTGGGGGCAAACTTCATGCTAGGGACCTTAAGCTTGATGTTGCGAGATGACAACCAAACCCGGTCCCCCACTTGGTACACCGGGTTGGCACTCCTACGCTTATCAGCAAAATGTTTGAAGCGTTCAGCAGCAGCCCCTAGAGCAGTTTGAACCTTAACCCAGGTATCCTGAATGGAGGCCAGACGCTCATCCAGAGCAGGAATGACAGTATCAGAAAATACCGCAGGGAGAACCGTAGGATGCCTACCATTATTGACAAAAAATGGACTGTGCCCAGAGGAGTCATGAACAGCATTGTTTCTAGCGAACTCGGCCCACGGGAGTAGTTCTGACCAATTGTCTTGTGTGCTATTAATAAAACAACGTAAATAAACTTCTAATGACTGGTTAGCCCTCTAAGCTGTACCATTGGTCTGTGGATGGTAAGAGGAGGAGAAGGAGAGATCAATCCCCAATTGTTGAACGCCCTCCAGAACCTGGATACAAACTGAGAGCCCCTATCAGACACAATATTGTGGGGGATGCCATGCAAACGGACAATTTCACGTATGAAAATTAGGACCAAATCTTGCGAAGATGGCAACTTCTTGAGAGGAATGAAGTGAGCCATCTTAGAAAATCGGTCTACAACCATGAGAATAGTAATGAACCCAGCAGAGGTAGGAAGCTCAACAATAAGGTCCATGGATAAGTGGGACCATGGAATCTCAGGAACAGGAAAAGGCTGCAACAGGCCACAAGGAAGTGCATGAGTCACCTTAGAAACTGCACACATAGAACATGCCTGCACATACTCCTTTACATCTTTCCTGAGTGAATCCCACCAAAATGATCGCGGCAGTGGACTTATTGATGCCCGGGTGTCCAGCAGTTATATTGTCATGGAACACTTTCATGATATTAACCCTTTCACATAGGGGAACGATCAGTTTATCACACGGTTTACCACTGGGCGCCTGAAGCAGTGGAGAAGACAGTGAGAGGACAGTAGTAGCAATAATACACTCTGGTGCAATAATAGGAGATGTCACCTGTTCCGGAGCTGACTCATTATCAAATTGCCTGGACAAGGCATCAGCCTTGGTATTTTTAGAACCAGGTATATAAGTAATGAGAAAGTTAAAATGTGAAAGGAACAGTGACCATCTAGACTGTCTGGAAGACAAATGTTTGGCATCCCCTATATATGCCAGATTTTTGTGGTCGGTTATGATCAACAGGGGGTCCTTGGAACCCTCCAAAAGATGTCGCCACTCCTTGAGGGCAAGAATAATGGCCAACAGTTCTCTATTGCCAATATCATAGTTGCGCTCAGCAGGAGACATCTTTCTGGAGAAGTAGCCACAAGGATGCAATGGTGTTCCCTGGCTTTCTCTCTGAGAGAGAACAGCCCCTACCCCTGTCTCGGATGCATCAACCTCCAATATAAAAGGTTTACTAGTGTCGGGATGTTTTAGTATGTCCGCAGAGGCAAATCTTTGTTTAAGAGTCTCAAAAGCATTCACAGCCTCTTTGGACCATACCGTGCTACTAACCCCTTTGCGAGTCATATTTGTGATTGGGGCTATTACAGAAGAAAATCCCTTGATGAATCTTCTGTAATAGTTGGCAAAACCAATAAACCTTTGAATGGCTTTTAAACCAGAGGGTAATGGCCAGTGTAGTACAGCCTCTAGTTTTTTAGGATCCATTTGAAATCCCGATGCAGAGATGTTGTAACCCAAAAAGTGGACTTCAGGCTGGTCAAATATGCACTTTTCTAATTTACAATAAAGTTTATTTTTCAACAACGTCTGCAGAACCTGTTTCACATGGGAGTGGTGAGTTTGAAGATCAGGGGAATACACCAAAATATCGTCCAAATAAACCAAGACAAATGAGTAAATGAATTCCCTGAGTACATCATTTATAAAGTCTTGGAATACGGCCGGGGCGTTGCATAACCCAAATGGCATTACCAGATATTCATAGTGTCCACTACGGGTATTAAATGCCGTCTTCCACTCATGATTCTCTTTAATTCTAACCAAATTGTAAGCACTCCTAAGGTCAAGCTTAGTAAATACTTTAGCTCCCTGAAGTCTATCGAACAATTCGGAAATGAGTGGGATAGGGTATGCATTTTTTACAGTGATTTTATTAAGTGCCCTGTAGTCTATGCAAGGGCGTAACTCACCACCCTTTTTCTCAACAAAAAAGAATCCTGCACCAGCTGGTGAGGATGACTTTCTTATGTGCCCTTTGCTCAAGGATTCTTTGATGTATTCCTCCATTATTTTACTCTCCTGGGGAGATAAGGCATAAACTGCCCCCTTAGGTGGCATAGCGCCTGGAAACAGGTTAATGGCACAGTCATATGCTCTGTGGGGAGGCAATACATCGGATTGAGCCTTGTTAAACACCTCCTGAAGTTCTCGGTATTGTATGGGAACTCCAGGAGTTTGGGGAGTGGTAGTGGGAAGGTCAATAGTATCCAATCTCTTTAGTACTGGTTTTATACATCTCCCCATACACTCTTTACCCCATTCTAATATCTCCCCATTAGCCCAGTCAATATAGGGATTGTGCTTACTCAGCCACGGAAACCCTAATATGATAGGACATGATGGAGAAGTAATAACCTGAAACGTCATCTCCTCCCTATGTGAGGCCCCAATGGAGATCGTAATAGGGACAGTTTTGTGGGTTATAAGCGGTTGTGTGAGTGGTCTACCATCAATAGCCTCTACAGCTAGCGGCGTAGGTCTCTCCCTGACCGGTATCTCATTACCCCTAATAAACTGGACATCAATAAAATTTCCAGCAGCACCTGAGTCCATTAGAGCACTGCAAGAAAACTTCTTGTTATCAAGGGAAATAGATACCTCAAGGAGGAATCTACTTTTGTTTTTGTTAGAGGACAACTCCATCACACCTAAGATCTGTCCCCTTAAGGTTCTTAGGTGCGGAAGTTTTCCGGACGCACTGGACAATTAGTTATCATATGTCCCTTTCTACCGCAATATAGGCATAACCCCTCCCTTCTCCTATACTGTTTTTTGGCCTCTGACAGTTTAGTGACCCCCACCTGCATAGGTTCGGGTTCGGACTGTACAGGGAGGTTAGACAATACAGGTTTAGAGAATTGAGGTGCTAGGGACATAGCCATACGTCGGGTCTTGCTTCTGGTGACTTCTCTGAGTCTTAACCTATTATCAATATGCATGACAAACGTAATAAATTCGTTAAGACTCTTAGGTAATTCTTTAGCGGCTATCTCATCTAGTATAGTCTCTGAGAGACCCTTTTTGAATGCTGAGATTAACCCATTGTTAGTCCAGTCTACCTCGGAAGCTAAGGTACGGAATTCAATAGCATAATCCGAGATAGACCGGTTACCTTGTCTGATGTGCATTAGGGCAGTGGAGGCGTGTTCCTCTCTACCCAATGGCTCAAACGTGAGCTTGAATTCTGCAAGGAATTCCTGGTAATTATGAGCTATGCTCCGATTACTCTCCCACAAAGGATTAGCCCAGGCAAGGGCCTTGCCCTTTAATTGATTCATTAGATAACCAATTCTTGCTCTGTCTGTGGGGAATGACCCTGGTGAGGCCTCAAAATGGTACTCCACCTGATTAAGAAAACCCCTGCATTCCTGGATATTGCCATCAAACTGTAGGGATGGTGATAAGGAGATGCTAGGAGTCCTATTAACAGTGGGTGGAGGTACACAGGGTAGAGGTGCTATAGGAGGAGACGCTGCAGGCTGCAGATGCTCCGTTCTAGCGAGAAGCGTACTTAAAGCCTGAGTGAATTGATCCATGCGGTGATCATTCTCCTCTAATTTCCTCTCGCAAGCAGCTATGTGCTGACACAGTTCTACAGGATCTATGGCCCTGTTGTAATGTCAGGATTACTGTTTGATCCAGCACGTAGAACTGTACAGCACGGATGACAAATAAGTAACGTATTAGAATGGCCGGATTTAGCGTACAAAGAATAGTCAAAAATACTAGCCGAGGTCAGGGAACACAGAAAGGGACACAGCGATAAGGAAAGCCAGGAGTCAGGATACCAGAACATAGAGAAGTCAATAAACAAAGCCAAAGTAAAAAACCAGGTAGAAAACTATAAACAGGAACGCGCTCTCGGACAACCACAAGGGAAACCACGACAGGGCACTGAGCAGGCTGAGAACTGGGCCTAAATACCTATCCTTTAGTTCTGATAGGCTGTAACCGGCCTTTGACCCCAAAGTCAGTTACCAGGTTTCATTTGCACAATTACTGCTCAGCATTAACCCTTCTGTGGATTAGGTTGCTGCTCGGCAAAACTTTTCCTGTGTGGACAGTAAATGTCATTAACCACATTTCTATAAGCGGATGAATACGTGACAGTGAATAACCTTTGGCGTTGTATGTGACATACTACCCAAAAACATTCCTTCCTTTTTCCATGTTATTACAGACTCAGGGGGTAAACTTATATGTGTACTACATGTAAATCTAAGTCTTTGCTTTCCTTCCTGGATATCTACAAGACTAGGCTTCACTATAATATCTCACATAACAGAAACATCATGTTAACTCTTACTGTCAATGATTCCCTAGATGCTCGTATTTCCCATATCCAAGATATATCTGGAGTATTGTTTTTTAAGAGGAATTCTGGCTTTAAATATATAAGCCAATATTGAATTGTATAAAGTACCTCACCACCTCGCCCTCGTGTTGTTACTGAAGTTTGTGGAACGTTCACATACATGTCACCTGACCAATTTAACATTTCCTCCCCATTAACT